AATTGGCATATGTGGCAAAATTTTGATCATGGTTAATTAGTTAGATTTTTAGTTATTATGTTTTTTTAATTAGTGCGTTTGACAATATATATATATCCTCTATGTATTAATTGAGGAGACGTTATGGTGAAAATCCTAGGTGTCACTCAACGAGGGTTTCAAAAGACATATAATTTAAATTAACCAATAAAAACATTTCAATTAATTCTACATATTCTTATTAATTTTATAGTATAAGCCCATTAATACATCTTTTGCAAATTTAAATCCAGCTTAATATAATATTTAAACTTACCGTATCATTTATTTTAAAACTTCTTTTATTTTAAATTTTTTTTATTATATTTGTGACAATGTTATTTATTGTGTATATATGTATTTAGATTAATATGATATAGAAAAATATTTACACATTTCATTATTAGAAAATATATATTGCTTTTCGTTTATTATGTCTGACATTTTCTTGCTTAAGTTCTTGAAATTGTACGTCTTTTTCTTGAACGACCCGGTTGAGATTTTGAACTTGTTGAATAAGTTCAGCGTCTCGGGGAAACACCGAAGACACACTCCCGTCTCCAGACGGCAAGCTTCCTAAACCGGGTTTGCGACCCTTGATTAAGGGAATTTCCTACATAAGAAAAAAGAAATTTAGTATATAAATATTTAAAACATAAATTAATAAAACGTTTTAAAATATTTAAAATTACCTCAAGACACAAGCGGTTGATTTCGTCGCGGGATAAATCGACCGAATCCGATGAGCTATCTTGGGAGAGTTGTGTAAGCCGCTCCATCTTCCGAAACTTGATCTTCTCGATCCGATCTCTAGGACAACCGCATCTTGAATTTGTCCAGTTTGCTTGCTAGTATCACTACAAGAAAACAGGGGGATTTCCGACGAAAATTCCGACGGTCAAGATTTCCGTCAGAAATTTCCGTCGGTTTAACGACGGAATTGCGACCAAACGCAAACCGTCGGAAATCCGTCGTCTTGTACCGACGGATTTCTGACAAACATAAACCGTCGGAAAATTCTGACGTATTTCCGACGGATTTCCGTCGGAAATCGGATAATTCCGATGTCGGTAAAGTTTGATTGGTCAGCGCATACCGACGGAACATATTC